AGTATAAGACCTACGGAAGTGAGATCTCTTCAGATCAATCATTATAAACTGGATTCTTCGAATATTTCAGCATGGTATAAAGAAGGCTATTCTTGGTACTGTACTTGATATATTAAAAATAAAGGAGAAAAAAAGAAGAATCCTGATCTTCAACCATTTCTTTTTATGGAAAAGAATTCAGAACGCACAAGAGAATTGCTTACCTGGATTCAAAATGCAATTAAGGCTAAAAAGTTATCTGACCCTGTCTTTACTGAAAGTGAAACATGTAATGTTTGGCTATTTAATGAATTCTTAAAACAAGAAACTTATAAAATTATGCCTAAAAAATTAAGAGATTATGGAAGTAAACATGCTTCCAGAGTTCATGGTGGTAAGGACCCAACTCCCTAACATCTTAAACTGCTTTCAAGAATCACAATGAGACAAGAATCAGACTGCCTTGATACAGGTGATAATTATGCTATAGGCGATACAGAATAGGAGGAGTCCAGTCCTGAATCTGATCACAACTCAGGTCAGAATCAGAGACTGTGAAAAAAGACAAAATATCTAAAATTATCAATATGTATAGCTATTAAATTTTGCTAGTTTAATTCTACTATGCAGCAGTTATCTGATTCATTGTAGTCCGGAGCAGTGATCATTAGCCTCAATAGATTTTTGGCTGGACCACAATTCTTAAGCAAATTTGTGAAATGATTAATCTTATTTTTTTCAATTGAAATATAATTTAATTATAAAAACAATGTATATTGCTAATTTGCTGGAAATTCTTTTGCCTGAGCTAATACCATTCATTCTAAGGAATCTTAGGATTCAGGATCTTAAAAATTGTCGAAATATAAATGATATATGGAAAAGAGTAGTAAGTTCTGAATTAACTAAAAGAATGACTTTCATGCATTTTTAAGTTAGGGATTTGATTCAAGGTAAATATAAGGCAAAGGAATTTTTTTTGAAGCTGAAAGAGTGTAACATGAGTATAGACTATTCTGAAAAACATCTTAAATGGCTATTTCTCAAAGGATTATCATCTGAAAATCAGTTAAAAGTTTGTATAGATGGTTTACAAGTACTTGAGTTATATAATAAAGTGAAAAGGCTTAATTCAGAATAATGATCTACCAGCTCAGCTAATTTATTTTCGATTAAAAATATGGTAACTATAAAAACTAATCTATTATGAAAATAAATAGCCTGTTTCTTAAAGGAAATAATACACTTAATTAGCTGGATCAAATACATCCTCTAACTTATCTGGTATCAGAACCTGAAAAAGGTAAAGATAACCTAACATCGGTTCAAGATAACCAATTATTAAATGAATTTTTTGAGGCATATAAGAATATAAGGCATATACTTTATTATTAGGTCTGGACTTACGTAAAGTAGAGATGAAAAAAGGTTTCTTTGGAGGCTTTAATTAAGAGGCAAAGATCAAGTTTGCCCATAAGGAACCTTTGGATCATTTAAATAGGTTATATGAAATTTTAGTTAAATTGGATGTTCTACTTTATCTAAATTGCAGATACTGACCGGTTAATTTATTTTTTTGATAAAATACTAGCCGACCAAGCAGAATGATAATACTCTACTGATTTAACTAATCTAAAGTAGTGATCATTGACTTGGAAGACTTAGCACAGATTTTTGCGTAATGATGTAATAGCCGATCACTAGGTAGAGGCAGTGTTGTCATGGGACGTGAACATAGACATGAACTAGACTGGACTAAACTGTTTGTATTCATGTCTGAGATTATTTTATGTCCGGGACTTTTTGTTCACATTAATGCTGGCCATATCTCTTGCTAATTCTAGCCAAAAGATATCTAATATCGGTTCATGTCCTAACTGTTTTGCGGACACAGTCCTGGACATAGACTTTCAGACGTCCTGTGTCTGCTAAAAATCACCGGAATAACATCTGTGTACAACACTGGGTAGAGGTTGTGTGATATAATAATTTTTGCATATATATTCGAAAAAGAAAACATATTAACCTTTGTTCTTTATTTTTTTCCAAACAATAATGAGAAAAATGTGAAATAGTGTCTATCTGCAACACAGGACCAGCTCTAAAAGTAAATATTGATAGCAAAAGCATATGTTATAAAAGGCTGAGGGACTCGCAATTTTGAGATCATCAGGCGTTAGTCTAACTATATGTTTTGCAAGGTAGATCTACATGTGAAAAGGTAAGAAGATTCCATTTACATGTACTTTCAAGAGACTCTTGACATTATATGACAATACTAATTATGCATCATATCTCCTTATTTTTTTTCCAACAAGATATAAAGCATATAGGAGTATGTGGAAGTTCAGCCAACTTTTCGCAAAATAATTGAAGTATGTATATGCAAGAAGTTATGTATGTATGGAATAGAAAATTTTCTTACTATAGACCTTGTAATTAGGAAAACAAGATATCTGATAAGGCTGAAGTGCTTAATAAGACCAATCCATCTGATACCTCAACAATTGATGAGGTGAACAAAGATAGAGATAATACTTCCAACCGTCTCACCTCTGATGAAAAAATATCTAGCAATCAAGTTGCTACTCTTATGAATGAAGTTGTAAAGTTTATTAAGGGTCTGAATGGTACAAAACTGAAGAAATTTTTTAATTCATCACAAGCATAGTATACTGGAGATATAAACCCAATAACAGGCATGAGGCCTATGATAGACACTAAATATCTTGCTAAATAAGATCATCATGTAGCGCTAGACCTTAGTCACAAAGTATAATCGCAATTTTATGTATTATAAGCCAGCTTCTGGCAACATTTTTTATTTCACAAATAAAGTATTATTTTATCAAACGTATATGAGAAACGGGTCATGTGTAATGATGCAATATCTGTGTGATATAAAAGCCTATATTAACGTCCAGTATTCTCACCAGAAATAAAAACTCTATTTTTCTCTAAAACGTAACACTATTTTTGTCCGAGTCTAATAACCATATAAAAGTGCTATGTTTATCTCAACAGCTGAACACGACTCTTACTTGATTGAGAATTAGGATACAGAAACCCTTATCGATTTTTTGAAAGAGCAAAACCTCAAGCTCGACGATGATGATTTGGGAATATTCTGTAAGAAGAAATAACTAGTCAAGACTTTCTTGACATGGCCAAAGAAGGTTTTAAAGAGTATGGGTTGGAAATGAGACTGGCTATGAGACTTGAAAGAGGCCAAGACCCTCAAAGAAAAGCCGAAGCATGCATTTTTCTTGTATTGACAGAATATGGATACGATTCTGATGGAATAGATTCTATACCGCTCTTCTCCCCTCTCAAATACGAAATTCAGGATGATAATAAGATTCTCAAATATTGCATAAAAAATTTTTGGGTAGGTTTCGCTCCTACGGAACTTTACAGCCGGATAGCTTAGAGGTCATGCGTAATGAGTATGTCATAGCACTTCTTTACACTTCTATCCATATCGTTATAGATATAATAGACAAGGAACTTAGCATGCGTCCTCAGTATGAAATAGTTGGTAAAGAAAGCTAAAGCCAGGTCGATTATGCAATAAAGTTATTTTTTTTTGTTATTCTAACCATACTCGCAATGTTAATTTACCACTAACATAAACTATGGAAATATATGGATAGGAGGCTGAAGACCTTATTTGTATCACAGAAGATAAACAACATAAGGTTCCTGTAGGCATCGGTCAGAATATCAAATAGCTTAAAAATGCATGCGAGACGAACAAGAGGAAGAGAAAATGAGGCAATGATGATTTTGATTACTTCTATGGTATCATCACAATAGGTTGGGACTGGCATTTTCTTTTATATAGCCCCAGAAAAATATCTAAGGCAAGTGATACTACATATTTGATCGAATTTACAAAGGAGGCTTTAGACCCAAACTCAGAAGAATATCACTCATTGTGTAAGAGTATGAGAAAGGTTTTGGGCATCATTGTGGGTTTGTTAAAAGATAGGGCATGTGCGGAAAAAGAGCCAGAAAGGAAGAGGGTTAGAATGAAGGGTTATTGTTCAAAAAAATAATTAGCTGTAATTATCATAGACGTCATGTATCACAGGCTACGTCCTGAACATTTGTATTTATTTTTCACATGTATTAATAAAAAATTTATTGGTTCACATTTCGAGTTCGACATCACATGATTCTCATACCGCAGTGTAGACAATTAAGTGAGATCGATGTGCGAATCAGATACATTATCCTATCAAAAATCCAGTCAAGCTCTTTTTGATTTACTCATGATTTAATATAATAATATGCATATATTTTTTTTTAAATGAATGCTATAGTTCTAACGATTAAAATCAATATGTTTACATTGTGTTATAATAAATACATCGGATTTGGCAATAAAATTAAACAAAACGTTCAATTTTATTATTGTCGATCTTTATTTTTTTTGTTTACTGCGCCATTTCAATGCTCCAGTTCATACCGCAAAAGATGTTAAGAATTGGATTACATAAAAAAAGATTAAGATTCTTTCAGATTGGCCCTCTCAATCTCCGGATCTTAATCCTATTGAACATTTGTGGCATGAACTTGAATGAAGGCTTCGAAAATGAATTATACATCCAAAAAATCTTCATGAACTTGAAGAAGCATTAAAAGAAGAATGGGAAAGAATTCTATCTGAAACTTATATAAATTTAATTGAAAGCATGCCACATCGAATTGAAACATGCATTAAAATAATGGATAGCCAACTAAATACTAAGAATTATTTATAATTTAATATAATTTAATAAATTTAATAATAAAATATAATTTTTATTAGTTGACTGGATATTTTTGATAGGGTAGTGTATATTCACATTATTTTTGCAGGTATATCCTAATTCATCTCTTATTCCGTATTTATTAAGGAAAATGCTCGACGTGAGTATACTGGTTGCTCGCTGAAAATCCATAATCGTTTTCATTTATTAATCGACCTCCCCGCTGAAAAATTGAATGTTCTGCTTAGAATAGTGAAATACTCAAAAATGCCATATTCTACGCCTATCGAGAATGAGTTGAAGATAGGTGGAGAACCGATGATTAAGGTTGGAACTATTGAGAACATCCAAGATTCGCCGAAAAAAGTAGCGAAGTTACTAGCATCTATGAGGAAAAAAGTTTGGATTTTATTGATGACAAAGAGCATAGTCTTCTTAAAGAATCATATAGAATTGAAATAGTTCCGGTTGAACATCCACGTTGGGAGTTTCAACTTCATATTCATCTGAAATATTGGTTTGATATGCTATATTATAAAGAAGCTAAGAATGGTGAAGATAAAAAAGCTATAATAAAGATTGCTCGAGAATACGTCAACGGCGTGAGAAGTTCATACATGCCCTCATGTCCCAAGACTTCGTTAACTCCTCATCCTTCGAGAAATTACTGCAAGTACCATCCAACTTGCGTTTCAAGTGAGTATTTATTTGATTGTATAAATTCGGATAATTTAAGTAATAACAATATCTCTCTTACAGAAAAAAAACTGGCCTAAATAATCATATAAATTATATAGCGCCAGATGTCTATTGCAATAAGGGCAAGCGAAGTACTGCACCTGTTAATTGTAATTGGTATGCTGAGGATGAACACCACGTGAGAACAGTGAAAAAGAGTGATCAGTATATCATCCTTTCACGACAACAACACGTTAGAAATCTTCTTATTTCGCCTATTAACCATAGAACCAACAGGGGTCTGATTAAAGATACATCATTTTGGGAATGGTTCTTGGGAGATGCGATAAACAAATTCTTGTTAATAATTTGTAAAAAGCCTTATTCAGTAGAACGCTTCGCTATTAATTTTGGAAGATGGGAGTCTGAATCATCGAAAGACGAGAATGTAGTAGAATGCCATGGTCATTTCCACCTACATATTACTAAAGAGGTAGTAGATAAAATGGAACAAAAGAAAGATATTAATGGCTATGCCATGTATCCTGCTATGCATGGAAAGGTTAATGATCCTATCCAGTACGGCCTGAAGAATTGTAAAAAACTGGAAACGTCGAGATTATCTGGTTTAGAAATAGTCAGTATTAACCAAGAGTTGGTTGTTTTAAACAGAAAGCTGGATGAAATGGATAAAAAGTTCGATAAAAAATTCGATGAAATGAATAAAAAGTTGATCACTTTTATGGAATCGTTCTCAAGTTTGAAGACAGAGAAAGGGAGTCTCGTTAATAATTAATTTAATCTTTCATACTTTCAGTTTATAAGACGAATCTGCAGTACAATCAATGTTTGGCGCAGTGTCGTACCGGAGATAAAAAAATCGATTGTAAGCAAGCAAAGAAATAATATGACTCAGGGTGTCACATTACTCTTGAAAGCATATCATGCATTTCTCTTGCCTCTAAGAGTATTTTTCGCTCATATCCGAATTTAAAAATTATTTACATTGGGCCTAAATCTTAACTAGTGTATGAATAAATAAAATTTTGATTCAAATCATGCCATTTAATATAATAAATTTATTTCGCTTACACATTTTTGATTTAGATTTTTTCTTATTATACATTATTTTACATTATCTAATGAGCAAATTTAAAGCATTGCAGTAGGATATTGGTTGGATAAGAAGTTCTAGAATATTACATTAAATTTTATGTAAGAATTTTCTTTAAAATATCTACATCCTCTCTTTTAAAATAATGTCCCAACAACTCTTCGTCAATATACATAATGATATCATTGTTTTCAGTATAGCAACCACCTCTAATTGATGGTTCTGACTGATTTGAAGTGCATTCTTGAGCTACACCGGGAAAAATATAATGAATTCGCAATGAACCTTTACAGGTAAAATCTTTGTGGCACACATCATCAAGTCTTTGCTTTTTCTTATAGCATTTATGATTTGTTTCGCCATTCTTCTTGTGATACAGAAGGTTCCAATTCGTTGAACGTTTGTCATCATTAACATCTGTACCTGACAATTTATCGGTGTACATTTTTGCACTGATGAGTAAAGTCCAGTAAGTAACTCTATCCAGCTTTCTAATATAAATACCATCTGGACGTACTAAATGTCCAGATTTAAACATATATTTTGAAAATCTTGATTCATATAAAAGACTCTCAATAACATCCACATCATCTTTCAATTTAGCATCAAGTCGAGAAAACATTTGTAAATTTCCATATGATTCAATATCGATTATTGCTTCTCCAGCCCAATCTGGCAGATGTGGTTGATCGTCACCATAAATTTCATTAACAAACTCAGAGACCGTTTTACCATTAAAATCCATTAATCTTCCTATGACAAGATACTCCCAAATGAAGCCTTTAGATGTATTTGAATAATAAGCAGATTGTCGTAATTCATATAAGAGTTTCTCAATCAGTGGTTCAGTAGGTTTGTTATACCGGGAACGAAGGACAATTTTAACAACATCTATCGCTAAAGGTTCTTTGACTTGCCAAAATTTTTCATCTTTGTCTGATTTCAATGAAGCAATGCCACAGTCGACTAATTTTGCTGAATAATCATCTATTTCAATTTTAGATACGTAACCATCAAAGAACCTTGAAATATCATTTTACTATAGTGAGTTATCAGTTTATGAATAAACAATAAATATGTCAAGAACATACCAGCAGTTAATAAAGAGTGTCATCAAGATTTTTCGTAATTCTTCATTCTCCCAATCTTCCTTTTCATATGCTTTATTTACTATCACTTCAAGATGGTCTATCATATCATCCTTGATAGACTGCACTGTCTTATTTACAGCGTATTCAAGCACCATTTGTTTGTTTTCTTGTGATACTTTTTCTGCATTTATTATTTCCATTATAAGGCGAGCCATCAGACGAGGACGACCAACAAGATATTTACTATCTTCAATATCGTCAATTTTACAGTCTGACAAATCAAGATAACGCATAATGTAGGCTTCAACACCTTTACTATCTGTTGTATTGAAGTTAATTATATATTTTGCCTTATTTCCTTTGCCGATATCACTTTGGATATCACTGTCCTGTTTAAGAGTAAATGCGGTGCCAGCGATTACTATTGAAATTTCAAACAGTCTAAGAATCTCAATCATTGACGTTAATAAACCACGTGGATGTTGGTTTATATTGCGAAAATAACCACTGAAAAGTTTATTGCTGGCAACATTGGATTCATCAATGGCAAAAATAAGTGATTTTTGACCGGGTAGTTTATCCTGTTATATATATTGCAAATAAATTAAAATGTACATTATAAGAGTAATATTAATTTAATCAATAGATTATTACCTTTAAGTATCTTAAAGCAGATGAAATAATTGAATTCAGGTCATCAAAGTCACATCCAAAAAGCCTCAATTCATTTCTAATACTTGCGATACATTCTTGTCCGCCGTTGAGCTGGGATAGAAGATAGTCACGAGGTGTAATATCTGGAAACTTCTTTTTGAGAAGAATGAGATAGAGAACCCGTGCAGTAAATTCTAAAATGATAAGTCGCTTTGCTTCTTCTCTAGCAGAGTTATTAATAGTATCGTTATATGGTCCAAAGGCTGAACCTATTGATGCAACAAGCTGTGCAAAATTACGATCCGCTGTTGGCTCATAATCCCGATTACTAATATCTGAAGATGGCCTACACTCCACATACACTACGTAGGTTCCATTTTCATTCATAGACATATCAAAAATTGCTCTAGTTTTGCCAGCTCCAGAAACGGCATAAAGCAAATAGCAAGCTTTGGTTTCATTTTTTAAATTGTCGATAAGCTTTCTGCCCGTATCAGTAGTCTCTACATCTAAACGCATATCTACATATTCCCTACTGCTAATTGGTATATCTCTTTTGTGGAAACGCCCGGCAATATTAGAAATAGGATAAAGTTCTGGGGGTCTGTCAAGAGGGATTTTCTCTTCAAGGTCGACAATCAAACTTTCAAGCGTAGGGGTATCCTTTCTTCGTTTTGTTTCTGTGTCAACAGATTCTATAGTTGTAAATGTCATCAACCGTAGTAGTATATTCTAGTGTTTTGAGCTCATCATTGTGTCAAAAACATACCTGAATCTGCGTGTCATTTTTGTCCAGTAGCTAAGAATAATTAAAAAAAAAAAGGAGATCAGACCAAATCGATATTTTGTTACTGCAAATTTCATGTTTGAGAGGTAAAACGTTGGGAGACACTTACCAGTGGTTGTAGTTGCAACGACAGCAACGATGTGGATGTTATCTGTAAGTTCGCAATCAGCTTTAAAATATCTTTCAAACTTGTGTTCAAATTCCATAGACACGCCTCCATTTTCTTTAATATCGTCTTCAGTATTAATCTTATTTTTATCAACATCAACTTTCCAAAGATTCAATATGTCAGCTTCAAACTTTCCTTTACGAGAGATAAGTTCCGCGAGTTGTCCAACTTTTAATTTCTCAAATGGAACTTTTTTATTATTATCAGATTCGAAGAATTTTTGCTTGTCTTTGTCTTCATAAAATTCAACAAGGAAAACGCGTTTATTATCTAGACGTAAACAACTGTAAGAGTCAACCATTTTGATTGTGTGTCTGTAATGATAAAATATTTTAGAAAAAGAGATTTAGAGAAAGAGGTTTGAGAAAACTAGAGGGAATATATATACTTTTCTGAATACATCGTGACTAATAGTAAATAGACTCTTGATAAACTCTGATTTAGTAGTTTGTATTACGAAAAAATTAATAAGCATAGTAAAAAAAGTAATTATCAGTACACGAAAAAAATGATTAATACGGTTTTATCAATACTCATTAGATTTTGATTCTCCGACGAATTCTCAGGGTATTTATAAAAAAAAAAGTTGAATTAATGTTACGTAATTTTTAGGTCACACGAGTGGTCGTACGATTGACCGCATTTGACAATAACGCTAAGTGACGTATCGCAGTTTGCCGGACGAGACACAAGGTATGAATGAAATATATTTTTTCTGTTATGGTTTTACAGAAGAACGATTCCAAGACTTGATATTTTCTCGTACAGATTTCTGAAGGCCTTACTAGAATCACGGATTGCAAACAACGTAAAATTTCGGAGTAAGGTTAATGTTATTATCCATTTATTTTCCGACACTGCATACCCCATACAAGTATAACTGGCAACCGTCTTTGCTTTATCCAGAATATTGATGATTGGGACAATGAAACCGGACAATGGAGTGGGATAGTGTGTATTAGTAGTGTAGGCGAGCGAAAAACTGGCGTGGTCTGCAGACATTAGTATAGAAACTCTATTTCACTTTGTAAAACAAGTTTATGTATTACCGAATTTTGTAATTTATTTTTTACATCAATAAATCAGTAATTCCGATGAGGATATTAACTCGTTTTTTTATCTATGCTAACGAACTTTTGAATTATTCCATCTCATATAAAAAATATCATCGAACATGCAATCCACTGATTCATTGAGAGAATTAAATGCCAAGCTCTTAGCTGAGATTGCCAAACTTAGGAAGGAGAATGCTGAGATTCCTGAACTTAGAGAGAAGTTACTAATATTTGCTGAGGTTGAGGCTGAGAATGCGAGGCTGAAGCAAATTGTTGAAGAGAATGCAAGGCGTGATTCTGAGAATGCAGAACTCAAGTCTAGAGTTGGAGAGCTTGAGGCTAGACTTGCATTATTAGAACAGGGTTCAGCAGTGATTGGAATGGCGTTGTCATTTGATCAGACATAAAATGGTGAAGAAGTGATGCCAGTGGTGACAGTACCAACTGTTGATATACCGATTCTGTAATATATCAACTCAATAATGAAGTAGGACAAGCATCTAGTGACCTTGATGGTAATGATGAAGAAATGGTCAATTTCTTGGATGAGGCATATAAGAAAAGCATTAGCAATAAGTTTAGAGAGAGGAGGCAGGAAAAGAAGCAGAGAGATCAAGAGGTACTTGTAATTTCTCAGGACGTGACTAAAATTCCTGAGGTCATGGAGATGGTAACTTCAGAGCAAGACTTATCACAATCTTATGAAGCTAGTTCTGAGAGCATAATATCAGTATCTTATCAAAGCAACCACAAGTTAATGCATTCAAATTAGCATGTAATCTTGAAAACCATGAAGATTCTTCACGATTGGAGTCATGTGACATGGTGGAACTTAAACCTGATCAGCATGATAAAGTAATTGCCAAGTTAGATAAAAATATAATTATGAAACAGGAATTAAAGCAACAGTTATCGTCACCTGTACACATTCTTTCATCAGATCAAATTTAGAACAGGACTTGAGCTCATTAGATACTGCGTAAAATATAGCTTACATGTTTAGGAAAGCCATTAAGTTTGATCAAGAAGCGATTTTATACTGGTGTTATTTTATAGAGAAATATGATAAAAGGATTGATAACCTTGTTGCTGATGGAGTTAAGAAAAAAACTGCAACATCTATGGTATATCAAAAAATCAAACAGCTTTTACCTGATATAACAGGTATGAATTTGTGTTAAAAAATCCTTAGAACTAGAAAATTATATAAATTATTCAATACATTAGGAATAGAGAAAATTAAACAGGTTTCTTACAGTGCTAATGCTATTTCGAGTCTCAGTTATCCACAAATCCAAATATTATAGATTATGTGAATTCAGTAGTAAGTGAAACTGTGAAGAATCTTCACAATCAGAATCATGTGACTTTGAAAACCGTTTCTCAGGAGAATGATCAAATTAAGGCTGAGACAAGTACATCAGCAAATGCATTTCAATCTAATCCAACCTGTGACTGATCCTATTTTTGCAACAAGACATTAGATTAATATCCTAACTTATATAGAGAATTTAGTAGTGAAAATTTCGATTATTATGGCATTACCGATGAGACATTATGCCCATTATGCAAGTTAAAACATGATGATGAAGAAAGCATAGAAGGTATATATAAAGCTGAATCTTATTTTATTAAATGTGAATAGCACAAAATTGAGATAATTGCATAGTCTCATTATTTTACAATATTATATTTGCTCACGCTTCATTGTGATATTTTTTTACAGGGCTGATTTATGTCAATTAAATTGATTTGCAATCATATAAAAAGGCAACATGACCAAGTCTGATAAAATATTAACTTCTGAATATCTGGATTGGCATACCAAATTAAGTGGATTACCAAGCATTTTAACAAATAAGATTTGTACCAAATTATACAAAAGATATAAAAAAAAACTGAATGTGAGCCATAGCAATTATCAAAAGCTATGATAAATATGTCAGTAAAGCCTTAGATCTCTGATTTCAAGTCCATTATTTTCGAAATCAAACCTGATTTAGAGCTAATTATCAAATCCATCTTAATGCATTTCACATACTTGAAATTCTGAAATAGTTTCAGAGGAATTGATAATTATAATTTTACATCATCTTAGCTGTGAATAGAGCTCTGAACAGGTCAGGTCAGATCAGGTAATTGACTTGATCTGACCTGATAAGGTCAGGTCGTGTCAGACATAAAATTGACCTGAATTAAATATACATTTGACCTGACCTGACCTGTCTAAAAAAGGAAACTAAACAATT